CTCTCTGGACGAGGCAGGGCTTCCACAACCACTCTGCCCACACACCCCTCGCCCTCCTCCAACTCCTCATCCTTTGCCTTCTCTCCTCCTCGAATTCCTGCCCCTCATCCGATCCCTCCCGCGCCCCCTCCTTCCCCCTCCTCCTCCTCCTCCTCCTCCTCCTCCTCCCTCCTCCTCCTCCTCCTCTCCTCCTCCTCCGCCTCCGCCTCCGCCTCCGCCTCCGCCTCTCCCCCTCCTCCCCCTCCTCCTCCTCCTCCTCCTCCTCCTCCGCATCCTCGTCTGCCGCTTTCTCATATGCCGCCTCCTCCTCCTCCATCTCTTCCTCCTCATCATTCTCCTCCTCCACATAGTTGTCATCCCTCTCCACCCTAATTACTGCTCCTTCTAGTCCGCTCCCCCCTCCCCACATCACTCTCTCCCTACTCCTCCCCCCCAAACCTCCTAGATCTCCTCCCGTTCACGCCTGCCGCAGCGGGCGGGGCTTCAACGCCACGCAGGCAAGCACACAGAGACAGGCACGCTGGTGAGCACGCGCGGTTTCGGGCGCCCTCGCTCTCTCCCCCCCGTTCCTCTTCATCTGCCCTCGGCCTCTCCCTTCCTCTCCTCTTCCCTCCCTCTGCCTGTGTTTCTCACTTTCCCTGCCCTGTGCCATCTGCCTTCTGTCTCCCTCCCTTTCCCTTCCCTTCCTATTCCTCTGCCCTACCTCGGTAGCGGAGCGTGGCGTGTATCGCCGCCCCCCTCGAAAGGCCACGATCTCTCGCACAACACCTGGACCCGCGCTACCGAGGCCACGTTCCCGGGCAGAACACGATGGATCCGCGCTCCCGGGCTTCCAACACGACCGAGGCAGGCCAACAAGACCGCCAAGTTGGCCCAATATGCAAGACGGCCCAAGTTTACCCCCGGGCGGCCCAAGATAGCCTCAAGGCGGCCCAAGATGCCTGCAAGATAGACCCAAGAAGGCCTACGAAAGCCCCAGCATGGATAATTTATCATTCAAGACAGCTTCAAGACAGCCCAACAAGGACCCTAGCAGACCCAGGGCGGCCCCAATGAAGGCTCTAGCTGGCCCAAGAGGGCCGTCATGGACCCAAGACGGCCTCAGTCCGAGGACTCCTTCGACGGCACAAGACGGAACGGCCCCACGACGGCCCCACAAGGGCCCCACAACGGCCCCAAGAGACCCCTCTGGACAGCGAAGACAGCCCCAAGACGGGCCAAGAGAGGCCCAGTACGGCCCACGAGGGCCCTAAAACTACCCAAGAGGGTAATATGGGACACCCAAGACTGCCCCAAGACGGGCCCAAGACAACCCCAAGAAAACCCAAATGAGTTCCATGGCGGTTCCTCAAGACATGAAGACGGAACGTGTTACATGTGAGGGCCTTCAATGGTCGAAGCCTCGCCACCCAACGGGATGAGCTGCACGGTCACAGGATTCACTGCAATCATCTGAATATTGTTGCGCATCGCGCCCCGCGATGCCCGACTACCCTCGCGCAGAGAGGCCACCCTGGAGAAGGGCAGCACTCCTGCAAACGGCCGCGACGCACAAAGCGCGGTTATCTTCGCGCCCGTGGGGGGGACCTGGATTTCACACGAACCTCCGATGTTCAGAAATGTTCCCTCGGCAGCCTGTCTGTAAGGGTTCTGGGCCGGATCAAGAACCGGTCGGGCGACGTTGCCTCCTGTGGCCGCACGTTGCGGCCCATGGCCTCCATGTGTCTCCCTTGGTCTCCAATCGCCGCCCCCTTCCCGATCCCACATCCCCATCATTATCCGTCTGCCTCGATCTGATATCCGGACCCCTATCTCTTCAAATCCCTCCCCCTAACCTATACCCCCATCCCTGTCCATATCCCCCCATCGTGGCCCCCCATCGTGGCCCACCATCGTGGCACCCCATCTGAGCATCGCTTAAACGATCCCTATCCCCACTGGCGCGGCCTTGGCCCCACTGGCCGATTTACCCCCCTAGATAAGAAGATGAGCTGTTTTTTCGGATTCCCAGGTGCCTATCCCTAACTGTGGCGGTGGAATGGCGGGGCCGAGATGCCATGGCCTGGTGCGGATGGGGATGGGCATAACGAAATTGACCGTCGTGGCGCCCATCGTGGGGAAAGCCGTTTAGTGTCGTCTGCCGCACGAATGTCACCCAGCACGGGGCCCCGAGACCGATCGACAACTCGCCAGGGGCCAACCGAAAAACGATGTCCAGACGCCGAACAAAATTCTGGCCCGCCCAAGGGCAGGCGCCATCGTCTGTCGACATCGGGACAGGAGTCTGATCCGAGCGAGAGGGGGGAGCGAATGCTTTGCTTAACTCGCACACGCCAGTGCACCCTCTACCAAAATGGCCGCGCGCAGACACGGGCGCGAGAGCGAAGCCGCGAAGAGAGAACGGAGGGGAGGGGGGGCCTCCCGGGACACTCGGACCCCCGGGGAAGGGCCTCCAAGGGCCCTGGGGCACAGCGGGCCGAACTGTCGCGGGACAGGGCTCGGCCCGCGTCTGCGTCGCCCCGGGCGCCTTCATGAAGACGCTCGAAAACGCGTTCACGAAGCGCGTGGTCCGTGGGCGCGGTGTCTGCGCCGCTCTGGGCGCGGGCGCCCTGCCCTTCCCCCCCCCATTCCAACTCCCCCTCTTTTCCTCGTCCGCTTCGGGCCCTTCTCCCTCCCTCTTCCTCGGCGAGAGCACGTTCCTCGTGATTGTGCACCTTCGCTCCGAAGACTCGGGGCTCAGCCTCGCCCGCTTCTGCCGGCGCCCGACGACTCGCCCCGCGGGGGCGACTCTGAAGGCCGATGTCGAGGGATCTCTCGCCAAGGCGCCTTCGCTCATCTATCAAAGTCAGACTGCCTCTACAAGAAGGTCGATTGGGCAAGGTCGCAATTGGAAAGGCTTAACTTCGCCGAGGCATCGGCAGGCATGCGGGCAGGGGGCATTCAACGGACTCGAGGCCCGATCGAGCTCAGCGAGTCTCGCGCCGCAACGAGCATGGCGGCGCTTCGACGGTCGGCCGCAAACCAAGTGAACTCCGAGACAAAATGTCGAACGCTGATTTGGCACCCGCGGCCGCTCATGACAACTGGCAGTCCGTTGCTAGAACCATTGCAAACGGAGCCTGCGAATCGCGCTCACTAGGGAGAGGAACGCCACCAAAGACAGCGTCGTGCCATGACGCCCGGAGCCAATGCGCCGCGGCTCTCGCCGCCGAAAGAGCAGGAGTCTCGGCGGCAACGTCGCCGCAGGTCACCCTCTTGATTCGCTGGGACCTCCACGACAGAACGCTGACCTGAGACCTCCGGTTTTCTCTGACACCCCCGTCTGCCGCCATCGCAATTCAACCCCCCTAAGCCCTTCTCCCGGCCCGGCAGCGCCCAGTCCCCCAGAGTCGCCGGCGGCGGTAACCTCGCGCGCTGCAGGGATCAGGTGACCAGCTGGTCAGTTGTTGCTCGCTCGCGCACATCGAATACATGCGCACCTTCATTCGCGCGAGAGCGTCGGACGCGAGAGGCAGGGGCAACGCGGCGGCCAAATCAGATGCGCTGCCGGCGTCGCCTGGCCGGCTCTCTCGGGCGACCCACCGCGCGCGGGCAACCGCGGCGCAAAACATGTAAATTTCTTCTCGGGGCAACGGGGGCCCGGGTTCACGCTTTCGATCCTTGCTTTGAAACATCGTGGACAACTGTTCCCAGAAGCGTTTCTCATGGTCAGCGAGCACTCTGTCTGCGAACAGCGTCAGTCGCCCCCCGGCGCACTCCGAATCCCCCTCCTTCCGCATGCCGATCTGAGATCTGAAAGCACCGACGCACGGCGGCCCCCCAAGAATCGACCGTGGAGCCAAGGCCAGAAAACCATGAGATCGCACGCCTCGATCTCAAGACTAGGGCATCTAGGCGCCTGAAAGAATGGCGCTTTAGCCACAGACGCGGCTCGAGGAGACTCGACGTGAGCCCTCGGTCGCTCAGCCACCCGGCCAGAGACCCCCCGCGCCGCAAACGGGCGGCGCCCTCTGACACATAAACCAGAGCGATCAACTCGATCGACTGCTCGGGGCCCCGCTCGAAACCCAGACGCGGCCCAACGAGGACAGCCCCGTCGGGTCGGCAACGGCGCCGCCGCTGCTCTGACTGAAACCGCCCCTGGCGCCAGCTACGCGCATGCGCCGCGCCATCGAAGCGATCGCCTGGAAGGCGGCCGCGATGAGCTCAGCCCAGGAGGTCGGAGCATAGACAGATAGAGACCCCCGTCTGGGTCGCGGCGACCGCGGACACGCCGCCCGCCCCCAGCCTTGAGAGGGGCCCCAAAACTTCCCCGGGGCCCAAGTCCCCAGATCATTCGGCTGAGCTGGATTCGGCCGGGATGTCCACGACGAACCAACCTCGGCTCTCCGGGGGAAATCGCCCCAACGGCCGCAGATCCAAAAATTACCCCCCGCCCCCCACGGTTCGATTGGGCGAATTTCTCACGGCCTGGGGCGGAGAGGCGATTCAAAACCTCGGCGCCTCTCGGCGGAGAACGCGGGCCGCCCGCCGCGGCGCCCACTCCGGAAAGTCAACGGCACCGCGGCCGATGAGTCAACGGTTCCCAGGGCCCGACCACTCAAGGAGCTCGGCGAGCAGATCCCCGTCCTGCTCGTCTTCGACCTCAGAAGACCCCGCGTGAACATCCTGGGAGTCGACGGATCCAAGGCCCCCCGCGATCCTCGGGGCCGATAACTCTGGACCAGGAACAATTCAGGAGGCTCGTGGGAGGGGGGTCTCGCGCCCCCACGGGTCTCGAGGATCTCCAAGCGCGGGAAGGAGCACCCTCGACCTCCCGATGAATCTGAACAGCTTGGTGGGCATGCGGGCCAAGTTCCTCGGCGAGGGTTAGACGCGGGTGCGCGCTGCGCCCCTGCTGCTGATCTCGCCGCCCGACCTCGGCACTCGCATGATCGCGGTCGGGCGGCAAACTGGGCAACGGGGCCATCTGCCCCATGAACTCGACGACGGGCAACTCC